CTGACCCCCGCCCCACCTCCTCCCTGCGCGCCCACCTCCTTTCGGGGCTTGGAACCACCCCCTCCACCCCCCATCCCCGGCCTTGCAGGAGCTGTTCCTTCCTACCCCGCCTGCTAAATCCTACTGACCCTTCAGGGGCCCCTCCACCTGCCCTTGCTCGGGACCCCACTCCCCCAGGCGCCCCTTGGCTTGTTCCCTGCTGTCTCAGGCCATGCCCCAGCCCCAGCTTCTCAGGACCTGCCGAGCTTACAGACTCGCACCGATTGGTGTTGTCACTTGATCGACACCCGCCTGCCCCACGACGCTGTCAGCCTGAGGGCTGAGACCCTGACTCCCGGCTCTGCGTTTATCTCCCAGCTCAGGGCGGGCACAGAGCTGGTGCTCGGTACGGCTTGCTGAGGAAGTCAGCCAATTAGCCGGTGCCAATTAGCAGGCAAGAGTGGCATGAAAGGAGCTAAAGGATAGTGGAGGCCAGGTCCTGGGCGCGGGGACCTCCCGGGCTGAGGAGGGCAGCTCCCCCAGCCGCGTCCTTGGATAACCTGGAAGATGGGGGGGGCACCTCCCAGGCTGTGCTCCCGCGGGGCTGGGGCAAATCCCAGGGGCCACGCTCTAACCCCTGAGCAACACCATCCCGGCACGTTTACTTACTTTTTTATTGTCCGCCTTAATATTTTTAATATTAACATAAAACATATTTCTTGGGGGAAAAGTTGCAAAAAAGATTAAAGTATTAAAAAGGCAGAAGAAAATCACCTATCAGGCCACCGCCGAAGCTGTCGTGGTGACCGGTCACTTTAACCCACTTACTTTGTCCCTTTTGTCCTTTGTTTTCCGTTTTTCACGATTCAGCTGATCCCTGGTGACACATGCGTCACGTTGGCATCGGGCTGCGAGGGCCCCAGGCGCCTCTGCCTCCCAGCTGGCGACCTGGCATCCCGGGAACTTTGCAGACCCGGCGCATTTTTTTTTTTGGCTCAAGGACAATACAGCAGCTTTAAAACAAGGCAGCAGGATTCGGGCCCAAACTCCTTGAGCCTGCGTGTGAGATTCGAGGCGTTTCTCGGGAGTGGCTAAAGCCAAACCCGAGAAGGAAGAGATGCTGGGGTGGATTCTTAGGGAGTAAGGCCGGCTGCACCCTCGGAATCAGCTAAAAAGCCGGATCAAGTACTCTAAGTGTCTTACAAGCACAGAAGGGTTGACACGACAGTAAATAATTACTGGGCCCGGGGCTCAGGGAAGCTGGACGTGCAGAGATTCTAGAACCATCTCTTGCTCTGAGGGTGTTTGCTTGTCTCATCACCATCCACACGGGTGGAGTTTAACAGCTTTGCAAAGCCTGGGGCCTCGGGACAGGGAGCTGGGAACCGGGGGCTACACCGCAGGTAAGAGCCGAGGCGCGGGCCAGAAGCAACCCCTGCCCGGCACTGCCACTCAGGTCCCCGAAAGGCAGCTGCCCGGCCCTGAGCACGCGGTGGTGATGTGGGTGCCGATCTCCGGGAACACGCAGGCTGAGCCCTCACGTGTATCTGCAGCTCAAATTCATGTCACCTGGGGGGCCAGCGACCTCAGGCTGCGAGTTTCCTTGGACGGCGCCGCAGGTTAGCGCTATCCTAGGAGGTCCCCGGCAGGAGCAAATACAGGCCTTTCCGAAGGGAGTCACCTCTATTCGGAGAGTCTGACAAGTGACCCTTCTAGGACCTCGAGCAGGTCACTGTCGGGTACACGTGGGAACAGGTAGGGTGACTAAGAACCAGGACAGCAGGTAGAAAAACAAACCCCAAGACGGAAGCTACTGGGGACCCCGCTGGGGCTTGCACGGGAACTAACCAATCAGCTTCTCTAGTGACCCCCTAACCCTTACCTCCCCTTTGCCTATAAAAATCCACGATGAAAACCCCCCGGGGAGTTCAGAGGCTGAGCTCCGGCTCACTGTTTCCCGGACGTGACACCCTGCCAATAAACCGCTTTAATTTCTCTGCTGCCAATAAACTGCTTTAATTTCTCCGCTGCAAAACTCGTGTTCAGTGCTTGGCTCTGCTGAGCGTCAGGTGGGGGGCCCCCTCGGCCCGGAACGCTATTCCGAGGTCTAATTCTACCTTTGAAAGGTTTAAATGAGAGAGCCAAGGGTGCACCCCCCATCCTTTCATGCCCCACCCAGCCCCGACCCCTCCTTTCAGTCCTGACAATGATCTTCCCGTTTCCCTCTCTCCCTTCCTTCTCTAACTGGACACTGGTCGCATGGATTTGGTGGGGGAAACGTGGCCATTGAATGAGCTCCTGGGGGAAGGAGCCGCTAGACCCTGATGAACCCCACTGCAAGTCCAGGGAAGCACCCGTAGCAGTCAGTGGGTGGGTGGGGGGATTTTTGTCGTTTTCAATTCTCTCGCAGCCCTGAAACGGATTCCGTAAGGCGGCTGTTCAGTGGGGAACCAGCCAGAAGGCTACCCCTCCTAGTGCCAGCCGCACAGGCCTCCTTTCTCCACATTACTGCAAACTGTACACGTAGAGCCGCTGGGAGCAGTGACTCTTCCCCTCACCCAGCAGATGCATGTGAATGCTCCAGATCTGCACCGTGAAAACACTCAGGTTTCCGTTCACCACACCCCTAATCGCCTTTCAGGCCGAATAATACGTGATACAAGTTACTAAATACGTAAATAGGAGAGCAGGAAGAATATCAAACATTAACAAAACATGGGATGTTTGTTTCTTTTCGGAGAAGTGTTGGAAAAGGGAAAATTTAAATCTGGTACGTTTCCAGCGAAACCACACAGTTCAGAATCTTTGAACGTGGTCGGGAAAAGGCTACTATCAAAGGTGGTCCAGAGGAAATGCTGCCAGATTATACTGGGCACTCCTGCCAGCTCTAAAATATCACGGGCCATTTAAAGATCATGACCCCAGGAGAACTGGGTCACTGCCTCCGTGTCTGCTTTACTTAGATCCTAGTTAAGTGATAGGGAGTTTGGGTTAACGAATGTTGAACGTGAAAGTTGGCTAACTCCTATGATTCTGACGGTTTCCCGGGAGGATTCAGGCTGGTGTGTGTTGGATCCGATATGACTGTGCACGTTTATTGTCAGCAATAAAAGCCGATTCCTTGGAAAGACCGGAATTTAGCCCATTTTTAACCTGTGTCTTCCCCGGATGGAGCAATAGTAGTACATGGTTTCCAGGGGACATGGTATCATACACTTGTTTCATTAAAATCTTAAATTCTGCTGGATGCTTGATTCTCGTGATATCTGGATTTGCAGTGTTTCCTGCCTTGGAGGCCTCGCAGATTTCAGAAGCTTCCAATAGGCCGTAAAAGGAGGGATTAGCATATGCTACGGGGCACAGAACATAGTTGGAGTGTTCGCTCTACTCATAAGCTTATTTCCAAAGAAGTCTATTACCTTCTTTGAGTCAAAATCTATTTCATTTAGGAGCCACTGCTCTTGGGGATCTTGACTAGGAAACATTAAGCTACTTTTCAAAAATAGGGATTGTGCTCTCCCCTAAAAAGTCAAACTCTGTTAATATATTTTGTGCCTTTAAAAGGGGGGACCCTTCTCTCTTTTTACTCTTCTTGTCCAGGCACTGCCTGGCCGGCGCCCCAGTGCCCCCCCCCCCAGGCTGTCCTTTCGCAGGCGCTCCAGAGGCCCTGGCTGCGGGCCCCTCCCGTGCGCGCCCTGGGCCCTGGGCGAGCCCTTCTGGACGCCACCATCACCTGGCACGAAGCCAGAGACCTCCCGATTGGGAAGGGGAGCTGTCGTCCTCACTCACACATGGAAACGGGTTCGTTAAACGCAGAACACAACCGGGTGGGCCTGGTCTCCCCAGATTCCGCGGGGAGCCCTGATTCGGCAGGAGAGGCCTGCGGTGGGTGGAGCTGAGAGCCCTGCGCGCGGCTCTCGGGCTCAGCACCACGGCCAGCGCCCGGGCCCCGCGGGCGCAGCGGGGGCGCCA